GACTTATTTGTTCCAAAAATTGTCCAATGACTTATTTAACATTTTTTGGAATGTCTAAGGACTTATTTAACATATTTTGGAATGTCCAAGGACTTATTTGTGCCAAAAAATTGTTCAAGGACTTATTTAATATGTTTTGGAAAGTTCAAGGACTTATTTGTTCCAAAAAAAAGTTCAAGGACTTAATCATTCCAAACAAGAAAGTTCATTGGTTTTTATTGTACTTTTCCCTCTTTAAAATTATAATTTTAAAATTACACTTTATACCCCTATAATTAGTTAATTAATTTACTTTACGTTCTTTACTTTTATCTATATTTATACTATTTTATAACGCAAATTTAGCAAAAGTCTTAAAGTCTTAAAATACTAAAGACCAAGATACCCTTTATACACTTTTTCACCCCCTCTTCTCCTCATATCCACTCACCCTCTCACATACAATCAACCTCTCACAACAATTTTTTTAAAAATTATAATTTTAAATTTACACTTTCTACCCCTGTAATTAATTAATTTATTTATTTTACGTCATTTATTTTTAAATGTTTTATTTTAAACATTTATCGAATTAATATAATTAAAACATGTTTAAAAAATATATTTTTATTTTAACAAGTTACACCATTATAATCGTCTCTTTAATACTTTCGAAATGAGTCCAATATTGAATAGTTTTTGACTTAATTATATTATTATATATTATAAATATTGTGAAAAAAATATTTTTAATATTTACGATTTATAATTTTATAGTTTTATATATATATATATATATATATATATTGGGGTTAGGCTATTCAATTGCACTATATAATATGTTCTGAATTAATATGTTCTTGGGTTTTTTTGAAATATATATATACATGTATTAATTCAACCTTAATCTGAGTTTCTGGACAAGAAAGAGGGTAAACAGTTGAAATTCCATTCTAAAACTCATCTTTTTTGGTCTTTTCATGACTTATAATTTGTTAAATTTGTAGTTTTCTTTATTGGTTTTGAGTGTTTATCTTAAAACTCAAGTTTTTTGGTTCTTTGTTCTTGGTGTAAATCGAACACATTTGTGGAGTCGTTTAAATATATTGAACTTTAAACTGTCATACGATTTTTTTCGTCGATAGTCTGTAATTGAAACCATAACTCCTATTTATTCAAATTGTATTAATATGTAAAGACCAAGTGTAAGTTATATCATCGTTAAATCTTATCTTATAAAACCAATAGAACTTCAAAATCATTAAAATTCATGGCTCCCGCCGCATTGCACAGATACACAACTAGTAATTTGTTTATTAGCTAACTTATCAGCTACCGACTAGCTTTTCAGTTATTATAGTTTGTCAGTTATCAACTAGTTTGCCAAACAAGCCTAAATACGATAACCCAAAAGATATGCAACCAAAAGAAATATCGTAAAATGACTTCTTTGAAATTTTTTGTTACTAAAATGTTTTTATTCAATAATTAATTTATTTAATATTTTCATTAATAATTTAATAGAAAAAAACCGAAAGGAAAACCAAGGCCCAATGCACTTTTTAATGGGCCTATAATTGAACCCCTGGTGTCAAGGCCTAAATTTAGAGGCCAACTTTTTGAGTTCTATGATCTAGGGGTGCTCACAGCGTGGGTTGATTGGTTTGGAGTCGTTTTAACAACTCAATTCAATGTTGACGGTTTGAAAATTTTCAACCCAACCCAATCCAACCCGTTCGGGTTGATCGGGTTGTGTTTAAACAATGTAAAATCACATAAAAATAAAGGAAACTTTCCTTTAAAATACGACCGACCATTCAAGATAATATGCAAGTTCATCAAATATTTAGATATTACAATAAAAATGTTTAAACCAAATGATAATACATCAATCAACAACAATAGTTTTAGACGTTTCCAACCCTGATGCTTTTGCTTTCTTGACGTTGAGGTTGGTCATGTCATGATTGTCATCTACAATTCAAAGCTAAAGTTAAGGTCGGGTTCATTGGGTTGTCGGGTTGGTCGGGTTTTTTTGGGCCTGACCCGATTCCAACCCAATAAGGTCGGGTTGGTTAATTTTTTTATCGATCATGCATCGGGTTACCTCGGGTTGGGTTTTTTTTTTTTAAATTTGGGTTGAGTTGGTCGGGTTCATCGGGTTTTTGAGCATCCCTACTAGGATCCTTAATTTTAATATATTTATTATTTAAAAATTGTAAATTTAATTGAATATATTTATTAAAAATTATAATATTAAATTGTATTGTTGATGCTTGTATATGTTAGCTATTTTGATCTGTTTACAGAGTTTTAAGATAAAGTATTTTTTTAATTAATAAATATAATATTTAATTTAACAAAAAAACTTACAAAATAGTAAAAAAGATTAAATTTCATGTATTGTTTGATATATTATTGCAGATATGTTAATGCTAAAAAAGAGTTATCGGTTTGGGTGTTTTTTTCCTTCTATAATATGTCAAAAAATAAAAGAAAAACGATATTATAATCTCAGATAGTATTTATTATAATTTTTAGTAAACATATTTGATTAAGTTTACAATGTTTAAATGATAAAAATATTAAAATTAAAAATACAATGTCGTAATAGAAATTTGTGATGTTATAATAAAGTTATTTTGAAAGTATAATGTTATAATAAGAAATGTAATGTCAGCATTATCGTACACGTGGACAATCTACGTGGATGATGAGGTGGCAAAGAAACTTGGTATTTTAATGTATTGATTAACATGTATTTGTTTTGCATTGTGTTTGTCTCATATTTATTTGGTTCACAATGTGCAACTTTTTACGTGCACTTTTTGTTTCACAAACACGCCAAAAGAGTTCACAATCTGAATCGTGTACATGTAAAGAGTTATTGAGTTAAATGACCACTTCCCTCATTCAAATTGGCCTTCTAACCATTTCTCTCCCGAATTTACCTAAATGTCGTTACTTCCACAATATTGCGGACTTAGCTAAAGACCAAAAATTCAACACAAATATGCAAATGCAACAGACAGATATGCAATTGTAATGGTCAGATCCGCAATTGCGACGGCTAATTCCGCAATTGCGACATCCAATTCCATAATTGTGATGGTCCATGCCCACAATTGCGACGATAAACTGGTTGAATTTGATTTTTTTTTTTTGTCTTTTACTCAGGTTCGCAATATGTTGCTAAATAAGTTTGAGGGGTTGTTTGTTTACCGTTTACTAGTTTCATTAAGAGACAACATCTGAATCGTTAAGAGGTAAATCATGTTTAGCAAAAAAAAAAATCTGTCTACTAATGATTTTAAAACCATCTGAATGATTTTGTATCATGAGCCCCGTTTAACCATTCAGCGTCACAATTTTATTGTAATCAATTACCAAACAATTATATTTCGTTTTGCACTATATCATGAGAACCTCTTAATCATTCTGACCACTTAATCATTATGCATCAAACCATTCAACAAGTGTCAGACAACCCCTCAATCATTCACATGTGAATACCCATAACAACTTATTTCATACATATTTTATTTCCTATAATTCCAATATGATTAAAACCATATAATTATTTAACAATTATAGATAATAATGACAATAATTATTATGTGATTAAAAATATATATTTATTTCTAAGAAATTTATAGGTAATAATGGCACTAGAAAAGACAATATATTCACATACATTAAAGTCAAAATTACTCTTAAAAGTTAAAAATTAAAGAAGAAACTACAAATTTAGTCCTTACGGTTTGTTGGAAACAACATTTTTCATCCCTATAGTTTCAAAACTACAAGATGGTCATCATGGTTTGTAAATATGTCAAGATTTGGTCTTTCATTCTAACGAGCGTTAAAAAGTTCCGTTAAATGAAGAACATATTCGTTCTTTTATCAATTTATCGTCTATTTATTTAATCAAAATTGATTTTATGATTTTCGTATATGTGATTTTTGATTGGGTAAAATACAAAAAAATCGATAAAGCACAAAAATATCTCTCATTTAACGGAATTTTCTAAGAGATTGTAGAGGGATTTATCAAATCCGAACGTTTTTGCAAACCACGATTGTTATCTTGTAATTTAAAAACTATAGATACAAAAGACGTTATATCTGACAAATCACAAGGACCAAATTTATAGTTACTTCAAATTACAATAAGGGAAAATTTGATGAAAAAATAACGTATTTTAAAACTTCCATTTTTTATTAATGCAAGCCAACTAATCCCAGGGCGACCACCTGCTTTGCAGACAATCCGGAGTCACCGCATTTGAACCTCCGTGGCCACATGGGGATTTTTATTTCTCCTTAGATTTGAATCTGTGACCTCCTGGTACTTTTGACATTTGGAGTCATGCTCAAACCAA